CGGAGGATGGAGGGGTCTGCGAGGGTGGGGGGATCTGTGGCGGGGGGGTCAATGGGGCGGGGGTGGGGGTCGGATGGAGGAGGGGGTGGGAACGCGGCCCCCGCCCGCTGCCCCCGCTGGGTGCCGATGCCCCCCCTCCCGTTCCCCCTCCCGCTCCCGTTCCCGTACCGGCCGGCGGCGGTTCCGGTGGCGGTGCGGGCGGTGCTGATGGCGGTGCTGACGGCGGTATCGGCGGCGGTGCCGCTGCGGCCGCTCCGTCTCTCGGTGCTCCGCTCAGCGGGGCGGAGTCTGAAGCCACGCCCACTTTCCGCCACGCCCCGTTAGGCCCCGCCCCCTCCCTCGCGGCCCCGCCCCGCGCCGAACCCACGGCGGGGAGCGCCGCCGCCGAACCCCAAAGCTCGGGGGGTGCGGGGATGAGGAGGGGGGACCCTCGGGGGTCACTGTGCTCTTCGGGGGCTCCGACCATAGCAGCGTCCCCATCCCTGTAGGGTTATCCCTGTCCCCTTCGTGGGTCCCCATCCCTTCGGGGTGACCCCATCCCCCAGGGGTGTCCCTGCCCCTTTGGAGCGTCCCCATCCCACAGGAATGTCCCCATCCCCTTCAGGATGTCCCCATTCTCAGAGGTGTACCCCTCCCTGGGGGTGCCCCCATCCCTGGGGTGTCCCCCTCCCTCCCCACACACATTGGGACCCCCCGTATAGGGACATTTTTGCCCCCCCGCACCCCGTCTTCCACATCCCCGCAGTCACACAGCCCAGTGTGGCTCTGTGGGGACTTTAATGGCCACGCACAGGGATGGGGACAGGGACGGAGTGACCCTAATCATCGTCATCGGCGTCGTCATCGTTGTCATCGTCATCGTCCTCAGTGCTGATCTCCCCCTCCAGAACGTCCTCGATCCACTCCTCCAACTCCGCCGCGTCCGGAAGGTCGTCCTCATCCGCCATCGGCAGCCACACGCTGTCAGCCTGGAGATGTGGGGGGTGTGGGGAGGTGGGGGGATGTGGGGATGTGGGGACGTGGGGACATGATTGTACGGGGATGTGGGGACGTGGGGATGGGGAGATATGGGGATGTGGGCACACGGGATGGGACATGGGGACATGGGATGGGGACGGGGGATGGGGGATCCCAGGGGTACTCACATCTGTGACATTGACCACTCCGATTTGGGGCCGGGAGAGGTCGATGCCGAAGGTTTTCTCCCAGAAGGGGATGAGCTGTGGGGGGACACGGGTGAGCCCCGGGAGGTGACAGTGACACGTCCCCTCTGGGGGGGCCGTACCAGCGGGAAGTCCTCGGGGTCGATCCAGATGATGCTGAGTTCGGGGTTATCAGTGTTGTCCCGCGCCACCTCCTTGAGCGTCTCCAGGAACTCGAAGCCGTCTGTGGGGTGGGGACATGGGGACATGGGGTGGGGTTATGAGGACACAGGGCAGGGACAGGGCAGGGATGTGGGGGCATTGGGCAGGGACTCAGGATGGGGATGTGGGTACATGGAATGGGTTCATGGGATGGGGACGTGGAAACACAGGATGGGGACATGGGATGAGGACATGGAGTGGGGACATGGGGACACAGGATGGGGACGTGGGATGAGGACATGGAGTGGGGACATGGGGACACAGGATGGGGACGTGGGATGAGGACATGGGATGAGGACACAGGATGAGGACATGAGCTGTTGGGGTCCCTTACCAGGATCGTCCTCCTCTGCAAAGGCCACGATGTGAATCCCATCAATGTCATCCTCCTGGGGGGGGTCATGGGATGGTGACACACCTGGCAGGGGGGGGCACCTTGGGACAATGGGGACAGTGGGGACAGTCCCCCTCCCCCAGACTCACCCATGTCTCATACATACTCTCAGGTTTGAGCTTCCGCAGTGTTGCCCTGGAGGGTGGGGGGGGGTCAGTGAGGGGCACAATGGGGGGTCCCTGTGCCCCACAGATCCCTGTAGGATTGGGGTCATTTTGGGGGGGGTGGAGGGGTTGATACATCGGCATTAATAACCCCCCTCACTGCAGTCATGTCCCCTCTGTCCTCTGAGCCCTCACAAACTCATGTCATCCCCAGGGCTCACCCCAGCCCCCTCCAGCCCCCCGCACTTCACTGGGAATCCACCATCCCCGGGGGTACTGCTGTCCCCACCATCACTTCCCCATGGCAACCATCTCCCATAGCAACCATCCCCCTGGCAACCACATCCCTATGGCAACCACATCCCCATGGTAACCATTTCCCATGGCAACCACATCCCTGTGACAACCACCTCCTCATGGCAACCATTTCCCTGACAACCACAACCCCATGGCAACCCCATAGCAACCACATCCCTGTGACAACCTGGTCTCCATGGCAACCACCTTTTCTGACAGCCACCTCCCATGGCAATGTGATCCCCATGGCAACCATATCTCTGTGACAACCTGGTCCCCATGGCAACCAGCTCCCCATAGCAACCACCTCCCCATAGCAACCGCCTCTGGTCCCCATGGCATCCCCCAGGGGACCCCTGTGGGACATGGGGGGCACGACGGGTAGGAGGGACAGTGGGCCCCCACCGCTTGTGCTCTTCCACGAAGGCGGCGATCTCCTCTTTGCCCTGGGGCGGTGTGGGGAGCGTGAGTGGTTCCTCCATGAAGGGTTCATAGAAGTCGATCTCGTTGAGCTTTAGGGTCAGTTTCCTGGCCACCTGTGGGGCCATGGGGATGTGGGATCGTGGGGCTGTGGGCTCGGGGTGGTCCCCGTGGGGCACAGGGGGAGGGAACAGAGTACCTTGGGGTCAAAGGTGGCAAAGAAGGGGATGTATGGGTGGAACTCTGCTGCTGCCGCCGAGAAGGCTTTGAAATCTGAGGGAGGGAGGGATGGAGAGAGGGAGGGAAGGATGGAAGGGGAGAGAGAAGGATCAAGGGAAGGAGAGAGAGAGAGGGGGATGGGGAGAGAGAGGGGTGGAGGGAGAAAGGGAGAGAGAGGGAAAGAGAGAGGAAGGGAGGGATGGAAGGATAGAGGGAAGGATGGAGGGAGGAAGGCAGGTATGGAGAGAAAGATCAAGGGAAGAAGGAATAGAGGGAGGGAAGGATGGAGAGAGGGAGAGATTGAGGGAGGAAGGGATGGAGAGAGGAAGGGAGGGATGGAAGGATGGAAGGAGGGACGGAGGGGGTTAGGGAGGTATAGAAAGAGGGAGGTGTGTAAGGATAGAGAGAAGGACGGAGGGAAGGATGGAGAGAGAGTGATGGAGGGAGGGAGAGATTGAGGTAAGGATGGAAGGGGGGAGGGAGAGAGGGAGGGATGGAGGGTAGGAAAGATGGAGGGAAGGATGGAGAGAGAAAGGGAGGGATGGCGGGAGGGAGAAAGGGTTAGACAGCCACCTCTGGGGTGGGCAGAAGGGATACGGGGGGGGCACGGAGGGACACAGGGGGTCACCCCCACGTACACTCTGATTCCACCCCCTTGAAGTATCCGATGACTTTGGGGTCCTCCTCAATGTTCTCGAACGCACGCAGCTCATGGTCACCCTCAATGAACTCCACGGGGTCCTCCAGCACCTGGGGCAGATGTGGGAGGGGGTGGGTGGGATGTCATGATGGGGGGGAACGGGTGGGTCCCATTTTGGGGCGTGGGGGGGGGGGAGACACTGACATCCAGCAGGAATTCCACCAGCGTGTCGGCTGACAGCTCGCCGTCGTACTCAATCACCTCATCTCCCTTAAAGATGTAGATGCTGTTCTCCTCCGTCATCCCTGAGGGGGGGTGGGGAAGAGGGAGGGGGGCTTCAGCCCTGTGCCGGGTGGGGGGGCACCGGGGGGTCCTTGTGACAGATCTGGGGGGTCATGGGGTTCGTTTCCCAGATTGGGGCATTCTGGACCATGTGGGGGGAAGGGGGGGTCCAAGGGGGCTATTCTGGGGGGGGGACGGGGGTCTGTGGGTGTCTCTATACCTCGATGGGGGTTATGGGGGGTCCTGTTCCAGGGTGGGGGGGTCCACGGGGATCCCTGTGCTGGGTGGGGGGGAGTTGTGGGGAGGGCCCCTGTCCCAGGTCTTGGGGGGGGTTATGGGATCCGTCTCCCCGACTGGGGCAATCTGGGACGTTTTTGGAGGGGGGTCCATGGGGTCTCTGTACTTCGATGGGGGATTTGGGGGTGTCAGCCCCGTGCCAGGGTGAGGGGGTGGGGTGTCCAAGGGGGACCCTGTGCCGGGTGGGGGGCATGGATGGGGGGTCCCTATGCCAGGTCTGGGGGAGTCATGGTGTATGTCTCTCAGATTGGGGCATTCTGGGCCATTTTGGGGGGGGCTGGGTCATTTTTTGGAGGAGGGTCCAAGGGGGTCTCTATACCTGGACGGAGGACCCAGGGGGGCCCTGCTCCACGTTGGGAGGGGTCCCCCTACCTCTCACTGGGGGCACACAGAGTGATAGCTCTGTTCCTCTATAGGAGCCTCGGGGGGTTCCGGGCCTGATGCCCCCCCACCGCATGGTGCCCCCCCAAGTCCCCCATACCCAACTTCTGGGCCGTGGCCGCATCCTTCTCCGCATCCACGAAGCCAAACCCCACTCCTTTGTCCTCCAGCACCTGCGCCGCCAGCTGGGGGGAGGGAGGGAGGGAGGACACCGAGGGGACATGGGGACATCGCCACCCACCTGTGACCCCCCCACCCCCTCCAGGTCCTGTCCTCACAGCGGGTGACAATGGCTGCGGGACAGGTTGGTGGACTTTTGAGGGGGGTCTCCTCATCGTCCCCCCCCTCACAAGTGTCACACAGGTGGCACCTGCACCATCTGTCCCCACCAGTGTCCCCTTTCTTCCAGTTGTCCCCAGTTCCCCCCACTGCCCCCTGTCTCTCCAGTCCCATTTAGTCCCCCAGTGTCCCCCAATTTCCCCTACTGTCCCACACCTCCAGCATGAGCCCCTCCACATCCCCTTGTCCCCACCATCCCCACTGTCCCTCGATGTCCCCCGATGTCCCCATTCCCTCTGGTCCCCAATGTCACCCACTGTCCTCACTGCCTCCAGTTCCCCACTGTCCCATCTGTCCCCAGCTGTCCCATCCCTCCAGTCCCCAAATGTCCCCTGCTATTCCTGCTGCCCCCCACCTCCATCATGAGCTCCTCCACATCCCTCTGTCCCCCCTGTCCCTCCAGTCCCTCAATGTCCCCCACTGTCCCCCACATTCCCTCCAGTCCCCACTGTCCCCCAGTGTCCCCATTCCCCCCAGTCCCCCACTGTCCCCTTTTGTCCCCCATTCCCTGCAGTCCCCAGTGTCCCCCGTTATCCCCATTCCCTCCAGTCTCCGCTGTCCCCCACTGTCCCCATCGCCTCCAGTTCCTTGCTGTCCCCAGCTGTCCCATCCCTCCAGTCCCCCAATGTCCCCCGTTATCCCGTCCCTCCGGTCCCCTTTTGCCCCCCGCTGTCCCCCCCCATCCCGCACCTCGAGCACGCGCTCCTCCCGTTCCCTCCGCGTCCCCCCGGGCCGATGAAGGAGCAGCGCAACCACCGGGGAGCCCCGCAGCGCCGCGCGGTAATTGCTGGCTGTGACGGACAGAACCCGCGGCGCTCCGTCGTGGGAGGGGAAGCGGAGCCCCTCCTCGGCCCCCCCCGGGTTGGGAAACCCCACCGTCAGCAGCGCCAGCAGCGCCAGCAGCCACCGGCAGCCCAACATCGCACGGACAGACGGGAGGAGCTGCGGAGAAGGGAGAGGTGGGGATGGGGCGCAGGGATGGACGGATGGACGGACGGACGGACGGACAGACAGACAGAGGGGAAGGGGATGGAGAGTTCGGGTTGGGGTGGATGGATGGACGGATGGATGGATGGATGTGATGGAAGGGGGTAGAGGCTCGGGTCGGGACAGATGGATGGACAGACAGATGGACACAAGGGAAGTGGATAGAGGTTTGAGTTGGAGTGGACAGACAGACGGACAGACACAAGGGATGGGGTCAGAGAGTTTGGGTTGGGGCAGACAGGTGGATGGACAGATGGATGGGTGGATGGATGTGATGGAAGGGGATAGGGGCTTGGGTTGGGGCAGACAGACAGGCAGATGGACAGATGGATAGGTGCTATGAAAGGGGACAGAGGATTGGGTTGGGACGTACAGATGGACAGATAGCCACAAGGGAAGGGGATGGAGAGTTTGGGTTGGGACGGACAGACAGCAGACACACGGATGGATGCAAGGGAAGGGAAGAGAGGTTTGTGTTAGGACAGACAGATGGACAGACAGATGGATGCTATGGAAGGGAGGCGGGGGCTTGGATTGAGACAGATGGACAGACACACGGACGGATGCAAGGGAAGGGAAGGGAGGTTTCATTTGGAGTGGACTCATGGACAGACAGACAGATGGACAGACTGATGGATGGAAGGGAATAGGGGCTTGGGCTGGGACAGAGATGGACAAATGGATGGATGGACAGACAGACATGGTACAGAAGGGGAAAAGGTTTGGGTTTTGGCAGGCAGGTGGACAGACTGACAGATGGGAGTTACAGAAGATGATGATAGAGGCTTGGGTTGGGATGGACAGGCAGACGGACATAGAGAAGGACGGACAGTGACAGGCAGACGTAAGGGAATGGCATGGAGAGGTTGGGTTTGGAGCAGATGGATGGACAGACAGACGGATGGACAGATGGATGGACACTATGGAAGGAGATAGAGGCTTGGGTTGGGGAGGACAGATGGACAGACGGATGGACAGACAGTCAAACTGATGGATGCTATGGAAGGGGACAGAGGTTTGGGTTGGGATGGATGGGGATGGACAGGCAGACGGACAAAGCAATGGATAGACGGACAGATCCTACAGAATGGAACAGAGATTTAGCTTGGGGTGGACAGATGGACAGATGGATGGATGGACAGATAGCCTCTGGGAGACATGTGCATGCTCAGAGACAGACAGATGGTGCCTATGTATCTGGTGGGGACAGACAGACAGACCCACAGCCCCACAGGGACAGATGGACCCACAACTCCAGAGGGACAGATGGACCTACAGTCCTACAGGGATGGACAGACGGACTCACAGCCACGCAAGGACGGACAGATGGCCCCACAGCAACAGACAGGCACACTCATAGCCCCACAGGGACAGATGGACCCACAGCCCCACAGGGACAGACAGATGGACAGCCCCACAACTCCACGGGGGCAGACAGACAGACTCACAGCCCCACAGGGACGGATGGACCCACAGCCCCACAGGGACCCACAGCCGGACCCACAGCAACGGACGGACGGACAGACGGACGCCTTCCCTCCCAGCCCCCCCCCGGGGAGGGGACAGCCACAGCCCCTTTCGGCCATGGGGCGGTGACAGGGCTGACAGTGTGGCCCCCCAGCCCCCAACCTCCCCCACCTCTTCCCCAGAGATGGGGCACAAAATGGGGTGCACGGGCTGGGGGTCCCTGTGAGGTGGTCAGGGTTCTCCTGGGGGGGTCACAGTGCCCGTGGGGGGGTCACAGCCCACCCGCCCCCCTCACCGCCCCCGCTCAGCCCTATTCCTTATTAAGGAAGGAAATAGGACCCGAAGGGCACGGAGGGGGGGAAGGGGGGAGGAACGGGGGGGCTAAAAATAAAGACCGAAGAAGGGGTCACTGCCACGCGGCCATGGGGACAGCGCGGGGACAGGGACCCCCCCGTGTGGGAACCCCCCATGATTTGTCCCCATCCTTCGGGGACAAATGCCACCGCAATGGGGGCCCCTCCGTCAGTTGCCCCCCCATGGACATAGGCAGGGCGGGGGGGTTGGGGGTCCCGCCGCCCCCTTCCTCCTCCATCCCCCCCCATCAGGATTTGGGGACAAGATCATTTGTCACCTCTGTGTGCCCCCCCCCCTCATATCGGATGACCACCGCTGGGTGTTGCAGAAGTGGATCCCTGTGGGACCAGGGACTGGGGGGGGAGGGGGAAGGACCCCCATGACCCCCCAGGTTATGGGGTGCTCAGGACCCCCACATTCAGTGACCCCAAGCCCCAGGGCTCTGGGTGCCCCTATATGGGGTCCCTGAGACCCTATGGGGAATTGGGGTGCTCGGGACACCCATGCAGAAGTTCTGGGGTTCCCAGGATCCCTAAGTGGGGGCAGTGGGGTTGTGGGGTGCCCCTCCCTTTGCCATGTCCCTATTTCCCCCCCCAGGTGGTGTCAGATCACCCCGACCCCATTATTTTGATACTTTATTTTTAAACCCCAGGGCCGACACCGACACCACGCCAGGAAACCCGACCCCCCCCCTGAACCCCACCCCCACCACCCCACAGAGCAGCTGTGTGACCCCAAAGCTATGGGACCATCCCCGTTGCGACCCACAGCCCTATAACTTCTGCATGGGGGTCCTGTGCACCCCAGTGCCCTATAGGTTCTTAGGGCCCCATATAGAGGCACCCACAGCCCTGGCATGGGGGGGTGGGAGGTGTCACTGAGTATGGGGGTCCCAGGCACATCGAATCCCTGGGGTTTGGGGTCACTGAGTGTGGGGGTCCTGAGAACCCCATAACCTGAGCATGGGGATCCCATAGCTTCTACACAGGGGTCCTGGGCACCCCATGACCTCTACATGGGGGTTTGGGGCACTCCGATGCCCTATAGGGTCTCAGCCAGCCTATCTAGGGGCAACCAGAGCCCAACCCCAGGTTGGGGAGGTTACAGAGTTTTGGGGGTTCTGGGCATCCCATAACTGGGGATGGGGACCTAATATATATGGGTCCTGGGTTGGGTGTTCCCTAAGGGGGTCCTGAGCATCCCAGTTCCTTCCCATAGGGGTCCAGAGACCTCACAGGTTCTACATAGGGTCCTGGACACCCCACAAAGCCTTCATGGGGGTCCTGGGTACCCCAATTCCCTATAGGGTACCAAGAACACTATATAGGGGCACCCAGTGCCCTCAGGTTGGGGGGGTCACTGAGTATAGGGGTCCTGGGCACCTCAATTCCCTGGGGTTTGGGGTCACTGAGTGTGAGGGTCCGGAGCACCCCATGACCTGAGAACAGCGGTCTCAGGGACCTCACAGGTTCTACATAGGGGTCTTGAGCACCCCATAACCTCTACATGTGGGTCCAGGGGACCCCAGTTCCCTACAGAGTCTCAGGGACCCCATATAGGGACAGCCCTGGGGTTGAGGGTCACTGGATATGGGGGTTCTGGGCACTCCATAACCTTTAGGTGGGGTCCTGGGCACCCCAGTTCCCTGGTGGGGAGCGGGATCCCAGGGACCTCATAGGATGTGTCCCTCAGAGTGTCCCCTGGTAAGGGGGTCATGTCTCCAAGTGTCCCCAAAGTGGGGGTGGACAGTGGGATGTCCACCCCTATTGATACCCCAAAGCTACTGGGTGCTGATTTTTGGGTGGGAGGGGTGGGGAGGGGGAAGGATATAGGGGCATGGGGGGGGGCATAGGGACGTGGGGGACGTGGGGGGGGATAGGGCACGGGGACACGGGGAGATTTATGGGGATATATGGGAGGATGGCGGCATGGGGGGGTATGGGGCAAGGGGGGGCACGGCGGTCTGTATGGGGGTATGGGGCGTGTGGGGGGCACACAGGAGTCTGCATGGGGGTATATGGGGTAATGGGGGCAATAGGAATATGGGGGGGTACATGGCCATGGGAGGCATGGGATATAGGTGACTGGGGGGCATGAGGATCTGCGTGGGGGTATAGGGGCAGCGGTGCATTAGGGATATGGGGGGCACAGGGTGGGATATGGGGTGGGATGAGGGGTCCCACTGGGGCTCTTATGGGATGGGTGCTGGAAGAGGGTCCTAATGGGATGGAATGGGATATTGGATATGGGGTATGGGGTACGGGATATAGAGTATAGGATATAGGATATAGGATATAGAGTATAGGATATAGGATATAGGATATAGGATATAGGCTACAGAATATGGGGTACAGGGTGTTGGCTATGGGATATAGGGTGGACTGTGGGGTGTGGGGGTCTGTAGGGGGAAGTGGGGAGCATTAGGGATATGGGAGGCATAGGGGTATGGGGGGACACAGGGGTCTGTGTAGGGAGTATAGGGGCATGGGGGGCACGGGGGGCTGATGGGGGTGTGAGGGGTATATGGGGTATAGGGGGTGTTAATGATATGGGGGGATAGGGGCGTGGGGGGGCAGAGGGGATATATGGGAGTATGGAGGGGTGTGGGGGACATGGGGGGAACACGGGGGGGCGGGGGGTGTAGGAATATGTAGGGATGGGGGTGGGAACGGGGCGGGGGGACGGTGGGAGCACACGGGAACGTGGGGATATATGGGGGCACGGGACCCCCCAGCACAGACAGGGGCAGTCTG